CACCCCTATGCTGAGGTTTACAGGGTCCTTCGAACCCACTGGCTGCTCCAGGGGAGAAAGATGAAGGAATCTGTTTCTGTAAAGATTTACAGCCTTGCAAACCCTATAGAAGGTCAGAATGAATCAGAATCAACTCAATGGCAATTGGTTTCTTTCTTTCTTTCTCTCTCTCTTTTTCTCACACCCCTGCCTACTTCTCTGAATTTATCTCCTATTAGACTCTTCGTCCTCAAATTCCATGCTTCCACACACCAAACCTCGTGCCTTGCTGTTGCCCAAGCCTCATCCTTCCTCCCATCATTCTTCTCTACTCACCCGTAAAGAACTAAAACCAACTGCTGTCAAATAAACCCCAACTCATGATAACTCCGTGGGTGTCAGAGTAGAACTGTATTCCATAGGGTTTTCAGTAGCTGATTTTTTACAGGTAGATCATCACACCTTTCATTGGAGGCACCTCTAGGTGGTTTGAAGCAGTTGAGTGTATTAACCATCATAGTTGTTGTTGCTAAGTGTTGAGTTGGTTCCGATCCATAGTGACCCTGTATAGGGTTTCTGAGGAGTGACTGGTGAGTTTGAATCACAGACCTTGCAGTTCAAACTGACTTTGCAGTGCAGAGCCACACCAGGACCCCATTAACCATTAGTATCACCAAAGAATTCCTTTAAGACTCACTGGGCTTTGTTTTCTGAAGTCGTTTTGATGCCTATGCCCACCTCCCAGATTGATGAGCTGATGCCTCGTCTTTGTGCTTTGCTACTATACTTTGCTCTTACAGTTTAATAGGGTGAGCCTTGCATTTTATTAAGACTTTGTTTACATGTCAGCATCACCTATTTGGCTATATGCCCAGACTCCAGTAATTAGTGATCAAAGATGATATCTGATTCACATTTAAATCCCCAGGTCTGAATAATGCCTTGCACAGATGTGTGGCTGTGTATTGATTTAATCTGAATTGTAATGAAGATGCAATCTGTTAGATGTAGGTGAATACTAGAAAACCAGTCTTTTGGTTGTGTAGTTCTTCAAGTCCTGTGTTCTACTTTCTGTCTGGTAATATCGGTGATCAATAGCCCAAAGACAAGATGTTCCAGAAAAGCGTTTGAAAGTTAAATGGTAGAGACGTGAGGAAAAATTAAGAGGTCAGAAAAAGGAGAAGCAATGTCCTCAAGGGAGTGAGGAGAGGTGAGAACATGAGTAGGAAGAGGACATTCTACAGAGAAGTGCTCATCCTAGAAGGGATCAGTGCAGGATTTGAAGGAGAGCAAAGTATGTAGAGAGTACGACAACTTGAGATGTTATAGAAGCATTAGAGGGGAAATAAAACTCAAGGCCAGCCAGAGGGAATCTACCCTGGGAAATGGGATGATGAATTGGATGTCATTAAGAGTAAATCACCATCCAACAAGCATGGTTTGATCTGTTCCTCTATGCTTGGCCCTGGATAGTGAGAAACAAGAACTCTGCCCTTAGGAGTCTTGTCTTCTGTGATTCACCTCTCTTCAGCTGAGGGTGCACATGTGGGTGATCCGTGGTGCTGGTGGTGTGCCATGGAGTCAGTTCCAACTCATAGCGACCTAATCTTTACAGGAGCAGAAAGCCTCATCTTTCTCCTGCAGAGCACCTGGTAACCCACTACACCACCAACGGTCCTTGGCACTTTTTAGTTCTAGAACTCCCCAGTTCACCATCACCCTTCTGTCAGTGTGTCATACTGGGCTGGATTACATGTACTAGGATTGTGGAGACCATGTCACCATTACTTCAAACACCAGCAGAGTCATCCATGGTGGACAGGTTTCAGTGGAAATTCCAAATAAGACAACCTCAGAAGAAAGACCTGGTGATTTGCTTCTAAAAACAAGTCAGTGAAAATCTTATATAGCACAACAGAATATTGTCCAATGGACTGCTAGAAAAGGAGCTCCCTAAGGTTGAAAGACACTAAAAAACCCAAACAAAACAAAATCCACAATGACCCAACAATGGACTCAGTATATTGATGATGTGAAGATGACAAACTCAGGCAGTGTTTCATTCTGTTGTACATGGAGTGGCAATGAGCTGGAAGCAACTCATGATAATTAGCAAGCACCACCCAGGTTCCATTGAAGACCAAGAGCAACAGTCTCTGGGGATGGTGATGAGAAACATTGAGTCTTTTAAGAGGATCCTCAGAGGAATCTTACGAACATCTTTGGTTATGAACTACAGCTGTACTATAACTAGAGCATTAAAGCAAATAACTGTGATGTAAAAAGTGGTGTCAACATGCATGTGTTGTGTCTAAAGAAGAAACGTAGAGAAAAGCCATAGAGAATGTGGGAGTACTGTCTGAGAAAGCAAGTTACTTTTGAGGAAAACACCTCAACAAGGTGAGTGAGTGAGCGAGCTAGGCATAGGAATGAATACAGTCACAGCTAATGTTTGCAATATAATTGGTAATTTGCCACCACTGTTTTATCCTTCCATTGGTATGTCAGGAGCCCTAGTGGTACAGTGGGTTAAGCATTTGGCTGCTAACTGGAAGGTCAGTCATTCAGCCCCATCTAGCACTTGGCAGGAGAAAGATGAGGCAGTCTGCTTCTGTAAAGAGTTAGTCTCAGAAGCCCCAGGGAGCAGTTCTACTTTGTCTGACATGGTTGCTTTGAGTCAGAATGGCAGTGAGTGCATTGGTACATCATACCTATCAATAGCCGTATAATTTATCCATTTCCACAAAAGCATCTTTACCCAAGGCAGGTGGTTAGTAGATGTTTTGGTAAAAGTTGGGACTGAGATAAATAGGGTATTGTTATATGCCATTGAGTTGGTTCAAACTCATAGCAACCGTATCTCGGTACAACAGAATGAAACCCTGCCAGGTCTTCCCCCAGTCTCACAACTACTGCCACGGTTGAGCCCATTGTTACAGCTGCTGTCAATCCAGCTCATTAAGGGGCTTTCTCTTTTTTGCTGACCCTCTACTTTACCAAGGAGCCCTGGTGACAATGTGGGTTAGGCATTGGGCTGTTAATTCAAAGTCAGCAGTTCAAACCCACCAGCCACTTCCCAGGAGAAAGACGAGAATGTCATTGCTGTAAAGACTTAAAGTCTCAGAAACTTTAGATAGGGTCACCATGTCAGAATCGACTTGATGGTAGTGGCGATGGAGTTTTGGTGTTTAGTCTGAGGTCCTTCTCCAGGGACTGGTCCCTCCTGACAATATGTCCAAAATATGTGAGATGAAGTCTGGCCATCTTTGTTTCTGAGGGGCGTTCTGGGTGTACTTCTTTCAAGACAGATTTGTTCATTCAATAAACTGTTGTTGTTGTTAAGTGCCTTCCAGTCAGTTGCGACCCTGTATAGGGTTTCTGAGGAGCAGCTAGTGAGCTTGAACCACCAACCTTATGGCTCAAACTGACTTTGCCTTTAACATTACTTTAACCTACAGCACCACACCTGGACTCCTCAATAAACATACTAGGGCTTCATATTAGAAAGTGGAGATCCAGGTAGAAAAATGTTCATTATAGAGCCAAGTATAAAGTTGTTACATTAAGATGGTTTTCAACATTCTATATTTCATGCAGCAGCTGAGTTTTCTAATAATAAACAAAAACTTGTAAGACGTAAGTGAGAACTCTGAACAGAACACCTCTTTTCCCATTTGTTTTTAACTCGTGTAATGAGGAGCCTTCATTGAATTTACTTTTACTGTTCTTATTAGCGTTCTCTTAGGCCCCACTGAGTTAAGCACTGGGCTGCTAAGCACAAGGTTGGTGTTTCAAGGTCATCACTGTCAGGGTCTTGGAAACTTTATGGAGCAATTCTACCGTGTCCTATAAGGTCACTATAAGTCAGAGTCAACTCAATGTTAATGCATCAAACCAGAACATTCTATAATAGCTCTAAATATGTCATTTGAAAAAGTCAACGGAAGGCCTGCTTGCTTAGAAATCAGTCCTGTTTTTCAGTTTTCTAGCTGCATAGTTTATCACCACATCACTCTGCTAATTGCATAAACAATAGTAGAGATGTTTAAATTAAGGAAGATCTTCCATTGCTCCTAGTTGTAGATGGAGCAACTTCAGATAAATGCTGTTGTTCCTAATGCTCTAGAATACTTCCTGCTCGAATTCCTACATGTGTCAGCATTCCTATAGATTAGAATTCCTATAGGCAGCCTCCTCTGTTTGTTGCTGGAAATATACTCAGTTAGGAAGGGCTGGGCATCATAAAACTTCCAGAATGTTTGCATTATCTTTCTGACAAATCTGTTTGTGCATTTTCAGGAAGTCTCAGAATAATGTCAAAATCATTTTAGCTCTAAGTTAACAAAGATAGTAAATTGTGTCTGACTTAGCTACCATATCATTCTTACATTCTCTGGCCCAGACAGCCAGTTTCTTTACTCCTCCTCCAGAAAAATCTGAGTTTTCTCTATCTGTCTCTATCCCCCCACTCTTGCTCTAACTTACCTCAAATTGATGAATCTAACCCATGATCATTTTGACTGAAATATGGCATTCATTTCCAATATCCTTGGTAGGTTTTCTTTGTATGTATAATTGCATAAATGTGAATATTGGTGTGGCTGTTCAAAATAAACATATTCATAACAGCTCAATAGCTGGAGGGCCTATTATGAGTTAATTTTATGCTGGTCTCAACTCAATAATCTTGTGGATTTTTTTTTTTTTTTTTTGTAGACTTACCAATTTATACTTTGCCTTATCCAGAAATAAAAAGCTTCTTACTTTTATTTTAGTTTATTTTTTGAAGTTCACTGGTCCAGTGGATCTTTGATGGTGTTTCTATAGGTGCAGGTGATACACAGAGTATCAGAGAACGATGGGTGTTTGCCCTTCCCTTGTTAGAATGCAAATCTGAGCCGGCTTGTGAAAAGACCTATGAAATGGTGTGAACCTGCAGCGATGGCTAAGAGTAATCAGGCTAAGAGTAATCTAGTGTAGCCATTTATCCATATCAACATTTGCCTTTTTCTCTTTTTCAGCCACCCAGTGTAAGCATGGTGCTGTGTATGATACTTGTGGCCCCGGATGCATCAAAACCTGCGATAACTGGAATGAGATCGGACCATGCACTAAGCCATGCATTGCAGGTTGCCACTGCCCTGCAAACTTGGTCCTTCACAAGGGAAGGTGCATCAAGCCAGTCCTTTGCCCTCAGCGGTGACCTTTGTTCCAGTCCTTAAGACTTTGAAATCTGGTGTCTTTGACACTGAAGTGGAAGAGCCAATGAAGGACTGCAGTATTTGTGTGCTAACTCTGCAAAGTACACACAACCAGAGTATATATGTGTACATATATATAGATCTATACAAAAACATTTCATCATTTATATAAACTATAGGTGGAGTATTATATGTATATTTTTTGCTATAAGACATTGTTTCTAGAATCCTAATCTGTAAGCCATGGAATAAATTGTATAAATAAGCCAGGTGTTCTTAATTTAATAAGGTGGCATGCAGACATATTGGATGGCTTTGACATCACATAACATTTGTCATTTTTAAGGAAGTTTTCTAAGATGCCTAAATTGCCTGCCTGAATTCATTTCAGCTTTGAGTCGGGATTTGCAGTTGAGTGGGAAATGTGTTTCTCTGGAGGAGGGCAAATTTATCTAGGGGCATTTCATGTTTCCAAAGAAAGGAATGTGTGCCTGAGAGAGGACTGGTGATTACTGACAGGCCCTAACATTGCATGCAAAGTGAAGGCTAGGCTTCTAGACTTTATTGGGTCATAGTCTGATATTATTTTCAAAACGGAATGGCTCGTTGCCAAGAAATACATATTTGTCACTAGGGCATAGCCAAAGAATTAAACGATTTCTTGCCATCTTTGCATATTCCTGAGTCTCTTAATTATATATGTGTGTTTGATGGATGTGGTCACTTACATGTCATGCATTGAGATTAAGGGGTGTCTGGATGCCATGCTAATTTTATTGAGCATGAGCAGATATTTAGAGAAACTTTTGCATAGCATGTGAATAACTCACCACTGCTCTGAATCTCAAAGCAAGTTAAAAGGGCAAAGCCAATGAGTTGATGTAACCCATTTACATTTTGTGATTTTTCCAACTATGAAATCAAAACCTTGAACTTTTCCTAAAGGAGTCCTTGTCTAGCAGTTTTTGACAACTGCTAATATATCATAATTATTAGGCAAGAGAAAGCTTTTAATGACCAGTTGACTTGCCATCAGTCCAAACAAAGAATGGTCCACACACTTACTCTTATTCACTGAGAGATTACTATAAACCACCGTGTAATTTACCTAACTTTTGTTCTTCGTTGAATATATGAACATGTCAACAAAAGCAAAACCCCTGATGTCTGAAACTAAAATGTCCTGCATTGTACTAATAAAGAGATTAAGATTTACAACAATGCACTTGTTTCTTTCAATATGTACCATGTTATTCTTAGCTAAATAAACTAAACTCTATCAGCTTCAGGTTTAATGATGAATCACATGCTATTTAAAATAGATTTATTTAGGGGTAATTTAAATATTCTGTAGTACTTTCTTTCTGAAGTCATATTAATAGACAGTATCAAAACCCAAAATATTTTGACAGTCAACATATTACCGCTGCTCAAAAACATTTGTGTTCCTTTTAAATATATTCATGACAGTGACATGATTAATTTGTGTGTTGGTGTGTTTTCACTGAATGCCTCTGGTTGCTTGAATAAAATGAATAAAGAATGTTGTGCTGGAGTGGTGGGCTGTAGCACCCAGACATGCATTTGTATCATTGTGTGTTGAGGTCCTAACCATCCAGGTGTCTGAAGTATTTAGTTCTTGCTTCATTGCTGCACTTGGAAAAAAGACTTTGATTCAGGAAACATAGGTTCTAGGCCTGCTTTGTGATCTTGTCCACATGACTTAACCATTGGGGCCATGCCTTTGCTTATCTATGACATAAAGAGACCAAGTACTGTAGTAAGCAGGATTGAGAATCAGAAAACCAAGACACCCAGACACTGCCCAGCTAGGTGAGCTTGGGCAGTAATCTCCAAACAACTCCACACTTGGAGTCTTATTTATTCCTCCTAGTGTCCTGAAAAGAGAGGTAGAATCAGCTGACCTTTCCTGGCTAATTTCTCCTTCTGTAGGGTGAATGAATTCCTTAAGATTGATTTTAAATTCCTTTCCAGGTCATGCTGGGTTTTTCCCTATGAAAAGGGGACTTGTTTTAAAGATGCAGAAAGGAAATTTGCTCTTATAGTTCATCCAAGAATTGAGCAACCCACCCAATAAGGTTAGACAACCTCATTTTCAACACCTTCAATCCTGGCCAGTCTTAGTGGAAAGATGATGAAGGGTCTTTTGCAGAGAGACAAATGCTATCACTTTAGACACCTTGATTTAAAACTTGCATAACTTGTCTCATTCAGCATTTAGCTTAATGTCTGCACATTTTAAGGAAAATTTTATTCCTAATCCTAGAGGAATGAGAAGGCAGAAGGTTATTTACTCTACTGAGCCAAATGGGCATCTGTCTAATGGAGGAGGGTGGGAAAATTAGCTGAACAGCTGCACATTTTATGTCTGATCATGCATGATAGCTGAGCAATGGCTCTGTCTAATTGTTGGTCATAGCAGAGATTTACCAAGTGAGTGAATGATCGTGGTCCTGCTTTATTTATTTACATGGGATATTTTCACTGGTTTCTCAAAGCCAAACCCATGCAGAGTTCAATGACTTGAAATGAAAATGTTCTACTTCCTTCTTTAATGTGCATAGCCTTGTTTAAAAATTAATTTTTGTTTTATTGACTATATCTACATATGTGGACTCCTGGTGTGGCACTGTAGGATCAGTGGACTGTGAACCACAAGGTCGGCAGTTCAAACACACCAGCCACTCCTCAGAAACTCAGAAACCCTATACAGGATCGCTGTGAGTTAGAATTGACTTGATGGCATATATATATATATATGTCTGTGTGCGTGTGCGTGTGCGTGTGCATGTGCGTGTGTGTGTGTGTGCTCCCGCGTGCACGCTAAGTGCTGGATTTGAATCACCAGCCTTGTAGTTAGTAGTCAAGTGTTTATCCTACAGCACCAAACCAGGACTTTGTAAAATAATATGAATTAAATATGCTATATATGCTATTGCTGTTGTTGTTGTTAAGTGCCAATGAGTCTATTCCAAGTCATAGCAATCTATTTATATAGGGTTTCCAAAAAGCAACTGGTAGATTTGAACCAATGATCTTGAAGTAAGCAGTCCAGTGTTTATCCGACAGTGCCATACCAGGACTCCAATAAAATGAGTTGATACCTGTGATTAGAGCAATATTACCCCAACTTATGATTATTATAAGCCATCAGAAGTTGGGGTAATATCACTCTGTTTGCAGGTATCACAATTCTCCTCTGACAATACTATACGTAATGAGTTTTGAATTTAATGAAGAGCAAACACCTTTGATAAAGGACAAGTCCAGTTAGGGTTCTATTCACACAGAGTGTTATGCTTTCTTCCTTCTGCCTGTGAAAATTGAAAGCTTGAAAATCCTGACCTAAAAGTTTTTAAAGAGAAAGAAAAATGGCTCTTGGACATTGAAAACAGCCATTTACTGTTAAAACTCAAGCATACTGAGAGTCCTCAGCTGTTCAGGTCAAAAGTCTCACCCCGTTCTCTCAGGGAGGGTCTCATGAGCATCTAACCATCAGTCTGTAGGAAGGTACTTTCCAGTAGGAAACAGAAGGGAGGGTGTGTAGGCTCTGTCCTAGGTTCCATTAAACATAAACAAGCTTTTTTTGCTGAAAAAGTTCTTTGTATTTTGAAATATTTTTTACCCAAAATGTATGTTTGTTGTTTAGTGCCATCGAGTCAGTTCTGACTCATAGGGACCGTGTATAGGGTTTCCAAAGAGCATCTGGTAGATTTGAACCACCAACCTTGCAGTTCAAACTGACCTTGCAGTCCAGTGCTTATCCTACAGCACCACACCAGGAACCCCCACCTCCTCCAAAAAAATGTATATGTTATTAACACCTACTTCACACTAACTATACTCATTCAGAAAGATAACCTAGTAGGTAGTCAATACATTTTTCCTGAACAAATAAATAAAGACGGATAAACACTAAATCTCATGTTTTATCCGTGTTGGTTTCTGTTCAGTTTGCCTCTCTTTGTCACTCATGTTCATCTGGATCTGACAAATATTACGGAAGTGGGTTGAAAAGCTCTTGGTGTGGGAGGAGACTGCCTTCCGGACATATGCCAAGATATTTTAATTAGCTATATCTCTTGCACACATAACCCTTGGGAACAAGCAAAAATAGTCTCCGGTTCTAAATCCTGAAGTAGAAGACTTTTTAGAACCCTGGGTTTTAATTCTGACAAATGATGATGCTCAAGTTGCCAAGAATGAATAAGTATGGAAATGAAATGGCTGCTGGTAATGATGTTATCCAGAACTAAGACCCCACACATCTATCCCTTTAATGGGAGCCTTCTGGTTGTTGCTCTATTGGGTTTAATTAAATGGGTTGAATGACAAAAACATGCATAAGACCAAACTCTAATGTGGTTCTCTTTCAGCTAGCCAGCTTTGAAAAGACTAATGTGGAGGAGAATGGAATATTCATATTTAGAGATACTAAATTTGTTTTTATTAATGAGCCTTGAGGATGACTTAGAATAAGCATGGCTAAGAAAGGGTGGAGAGTCCTGGTTTAAGCACTGGACAGCTAACTTCATAGTTGGTGGTTCAAGCCCACGAATCGGTCTTCTGACACACATGAGGTTGCCACAAGTTGGAACTGACTTGCTGACAACTGGTTAGGTGTTAGCTGTTTTACCAGAACTGGTCCAAGGTAAATACACTTAGCCATTGCTTTTGTTGACTTGCTTGGCTGTGGGCTAATGGAAGGGATGGGGAATGATTCAAGTGCAAACAGGTGTACCTACTAGCGACACTCTGGTAACACTTCTGGATAAAAGACCTTGATACACAGCTTACTCCAGAGCTCTGGCTGAAACTATTCTGTCATGTTTTAGCCACCTTGGGTCATAACCCAGCTTATTCCTAAA